ACTCAAGCTGTCTTCTTTTTCACAGTTATCCACAACACTAGAGTCAATGTCATTTGAATTGTATATAGAGATGATATCTTTCTCTTGATCATTCTTCTTTGAAGAGGAGCATTGTCTTTTCTTGAGTTCTTTTTCATGCTTGCTAAATAGAGGAACCAAATCTTCAATCTCTATAAAACTGCACATTTCTGCAACACGGGTTAATCTAGGATTAAGCCCGCGTATAAAATGATCCATGATGGCTTCTGGAGTCTCTTTCACACCAGCTCTAATCAAAGCTAACTCCATCTCGTTGTAATAATTCTCAACATTTAAGGAGCCTTGTTTCAACTCTTGCAACCTTTTATATAAATCTCTTTTAATTTTGGAGTTGTGCTTAGACTTTAACTGGTCTATTTCAGCATTTAGTTGTTAAACTTCTTTTAGGAAAGATTTGATATTTTTCCCAAGTTCTTTGTGACCATACATATTTTGTGCCTGAAAAGTTAGAAATAGAGAGAAAAATGGATATCACCACTCTACTCACGTGTTTCACTCAAAATAATTTATGTCACTCATGTTTCACTCAAATTTGCGCTTTTAAAATAATGTAAATACTCTTGCCTTTTACAACTCAAGCTTGACTCCTATAATATTCTTGATTGAAACTCAATAAAATCAAAAGACAATGTCAATTTGTGGCAATCTACACAAATAGAATTGGTAAGAAACTATGGGAGAAAGTAAAGGAATATGGGATAAAAGTATACGATAAAAAAAATATATGGCAAGAGCTAGAAAGAGGAAAAAACGTGTAGAAAAAAAGGATAAGAAAATTATGGATACAAATATGGGTGTGGAAAGAAAAGAAAGTGGGAACGAAGATTTTAGGAAAAATACTACCTTGAGAACACTTTCGGAAAGTGAATATCTTGTAAGAAAAGGACTCAAATTAGGCAAATAATATGACAAGGAAGGAAAAGCAATAGGAAACAAAAGAAGGAAGGAAACTTGATGAAAGAAAATAGGAAAGTAATATAAAAAGGAAAGGAATTCAAAATAGGAAACTAGATAAAAGAAAGAAAAGTAGAAATAGGAAAGTAGGAGTCTTACCACCCAAGTATAAAGACTTAGGAAGTTAATTGTGACTTGTAATGGAAGCTCTTTCAAATTAGGAAACTTGCGTCTTATGTTGCAATCTCCAAAACCTGAAACTCTTTCTCTTTTTGTTTTCCTCAAATTTTTTTTCAGCAATTCTGCAGCCTTTTTTTTTTTCTTTGAACACAACAGCACTCTTTTTTTTATGAATTTTTTTTTGTTTTTTTTCTATGCTACTCAAAAGAACAAAGCAAGTCAAATGAACAAAAAAAGAGTGGGAAGGAGATGAAAAGGAAAACAAAAAACCAAAAAAATGATGGAAATAAGGAAGAACGAAGGAAGATAGAATGAGGAGAATGGAAACGAAAGAAAAATGGAAGCAACAAAGAAAGAAAAAAAATTAAAACACCAAAAAGATAGAACTTGAAATCTAGTAAATCTTAGCTCTGATGCCACTTGATATGGGGGAGACGTATGGACAAACTAGAATCAAGTAACAAACGGATGGTTGATCTAGGTAGGACTTTAAGAAAACCTGTCTCTTATAACCCTAGTCATGAAGACACTACAAGGTTGATCAATCCCTTGATACTGTCAAGTATTCTCACGAGAATACAAGGATGCAAGCAAAACTCACACAGAGAAAAATAAACTCAATTCTCATTCATCTAAATCTGTATCTAATTACAAAAAACATAGCCTATATATAGGCAACCATAGAACACTCTATAATCAGCATCTTAAGACATAAATGCTAAGAATGATGCCTCATTAATGATTATTTGACTATGGGAGGCACCATTTATTACATAGAAATAAAAAGAAATAATTTAAACTTCAAGAGCAAGTATGCTAATTGAAAATAGAAAACTATAAAATAGAAAACTAATTAAAACAAACAGAATCCTAATTAATGTCAATAATATCACTCTTGATGCTTCTTGAATTTTCTTCGATCTTCCAAATGGATCTTCATAAATGCTATTCACGTCCATAAGCATGCATGGGCCTTTTAGACATCCATTTGGGCCTGAATATGGTTTAATCACGTTCAGAAACTCTCTTGGTCCATAACACAATGTATTTGGACCCTAATTTAAAAGGTTATAGCTCTAATGGACCCTTCGATGCACATATAATTGTGTTGGGCTTTTAATAACATAGGACGTGACTTCAAATGCTTCTTTTGGGCTCTCAGAATGTGCTCTTCTCTTCCTCAAGGCCCAAGTGTCCATGCTCCAATGACTCACATGCCACGGTGGCTTTCAAGGTGGACATCTATATGTCATGTTAAGTTCTGCATGTGTCCATGTCATCATCTAAGGAATGATCCATATCCTTCTCCATGTAAGCAGTCTTGAGCTATAAATCCCTTGAACACTTTAGAGGGCTTGTTGTGCCTCTAACTGAATGAGTATTTCTTGGACTTCAAGGCTTGGTATGCTATCAAAGTGTAATAATACATTATTTGAAATGAAAACGTGGGTGATGATTTTGATTTCAAAATATAAACAAAAATAAGCATTTGCATGTTTTAGTTGCACTTCAACTTCTAATTTATTGTTATGCACAATAAAATCAATTTCGGTCATTAGCAAAAATCAAATAGAAAGTTTTCTTTCTTCTAAAAGCATCCATTGGAATGACTGCAGAATATGATAGGAACATCGAAGGGCAATATAATTCGAAATCCTATTATTAGTGGCATCGGCTTATAACATATTAAACTTTCCATTACATATAACATTAATATAATTAAAAATCCTATTATTATTGGTATCGGCGTAACATAACAAACTTTCCATTACATGACGGAGTTAAACCCAACTTTAAGATTATATAATCATGAAGCACACGAAGAAGGTCCAGCTTCGTTTGGTGGATGCGTCTTGTGGCTGGCACAGTATTCCAGATCCATAGTGGTTGATCATCATTAAACACGATCTTGCTGGTGTTCTCATGATTTTTCAGCATCTCAATCCCTACACACATCAAAAAAAAGAAAAGAAAAGAAAGAACATAATGTTTTCAAACAATTCAAATACCTTATTATGCTGGAATATATTAGATAAAAAATGATTAACAAAATAAAATAAAATAAAAACCTCTAAACACTAGTCAAGACACAAGATATCAAGGTTTTCTCTTGCTTACTGAAAGGGTTCGTGATTGGTAAAATAACAACATGAAAACTCACGTTGCTTGTAACCTCATCCTACCTTTAAAGCAAAAATAAATAATATAATGAAGTATACTTACGTGTGTTCTTCCAAAGTCCAAGAGGCGGCCTTCTTTCTGATACGAAACTTGACCCCTAAACCCAAAAAAACTGATAAAAGCAAAACTAAATATTCACAGGCCACAAAATACAATCCACGTGGCCCAATACCTGCGCATCTACGTGGACCAATCACAAAGCACTCACAACGTTTATATAGATATATATATATATAGATAACAATTTTAATACCTAGTTTTGTTGGCATCAGTTTTATTACCTAAATTAAGGAATGCATATATGCATATGCAGGAAGAGATAGCAAGATTGATGCCCAATCTAGCGAGTGCGGGCTCAAATGCGGTGAACTTGGCTCAATTGCTCAACGTGTGCACGACAAATGCATTGTGCAGAGTGATGATAGGGTGGCGCGTGTTCAGCGACGGCAGCGCTGGGTGCGATCCCAGGGCGAATGAGTTTGAGAGCATGGTGGTGGAAGTGATAGCATTGGCCGGAGTTTTCAACATCGGCGATTTTATTCCGGCCTTGGAGTTCCTTGACCTGCAAGGAGTGCAAGCTAAAATGAGGAAACTGCACAAAAGATTCGATGACTTCCTTACGAGCATCATTGACGAGCACAAGGTTTCTAAGAGCGAGAAGCACAAGGACATGTTGAGTACCCTGTTGTCCCTCAAAGACGTCCAGGATGATGACGGAACCAGACTCACTGACATCGAGATCAAGGCTCTTCTTTTGGTACCTACGCCTTCTTCCTTACTCACCAATTATTATATGGATAATGCTTTTATCAAATTTTTTATATTTAATATTATACGTGACCATATATGATTGGATAGTTTGATCTAATGAAAATAAGTAACTTGATTTTCTTGTTATACTGTCATATTTAAGTTTAATAAATTTTATTTAAAATTAAAATATAAATCATTCAAATTAAACATGGATTGGAAGAGATCAACGTGTTCCTCTTTGCAACTAGAATTTCCCGAGGAAGAGAACCAAACATTTATTTTTGGGAAGCATGAGTCAATGACATGGGTCCATTCTTGCAGAACTTGTTTGCCGCGGGAACTGACACGTCATCAGGTACAACAGAGTGGGCCATAGCTGAACTAATTCGTCATCCAAGAATGCTAGCCCAAGTCCAACAAGAGCTGGATGCTGTGGTGGGTCGAGGTCGACTCGTAAGTGGTGACTGAACTAGACTTCCCCAGCCTCCCATGCTTGCAGGCCGTGGTGAAGAAAACCTTCTATCTTCACCCACCAACGCCTCTTTCCCTTCCACGAATAGCAGACAAAAGCTGTGGGATCTTCGGCTATCATATCCCCAAAGGAGCACTTTACTGGTCAATGTCTGGGCCATAGGTCGTGACCCCAAGGAATGGTCTAACCCATTGGAGTTCAATTCTGACAGGTTTCTGCCAGGTGGCGAGAAAGCTGACGTGGATGTAAGGGGCAATGACTTTGAGTTGATACCATTTGGTGCTGGACGTAGAATTTGTGCTGGTATGAGCCTGGGGCTTCGCATGGTTCAACTAGTAACTACGACACTGGTCCATGCCTTTAATTGGGACCTGCCAGAAGGGCTTCACCCTGAGAAGCTTAATGTGGATGAAGCCTATGGAGGGTCAGCCCCACCGACCGTGTACCCCAGGCCCAGACTTTCACCACAAGCCTACTAATCATGAACACCCCAATAGAGGCAGCATCGTCTACTTCAGACCTTTGTGCATACGCCTTTCCTGATGTTTTTATTGAGCAGTAGTATGATCATGCGCATCGAATTCACTGGGGAAGTTATTTTAGACGGTTATGAAAAAGAGAACATCAGACAACTGAAAGATCTACATCAACTAGTGCCAAATGATCTGCATGTAATTTTCAATTATTTTCGCAGTAAAATTGTAGTTTTTTATTATTGATCCTCGATACACAAACTATTTAACTAATTTAAATATATTAAAAAAATAAATAAATTATCTAACCTAATTTTTTAAAATACTGCTACTTCTGATTCTTAATACTCCTTCGGTCCTAATTATAAGAGTTAGTTGACTAGTTTGAGAAGATTAAAGAAATAAGTTAAGTTAGTTATTTGTAATAAATTATTGTTGTCTTTCCTAAAATATTCTTACTAAACAAGTGTATTGGTTAAAACTATTATTATTAGAAGGACTATCTTTGAAAAAAATATATAAATATGAGAGACAAAGTAGATTGGGGTCTTATATTTAGGATCAAAATAAAAGTCAAACAAGATCTTATATTAAAGACCGGAGGTAGTATAAAAGTTAATTTGACTTTCAAGACAGTTTTTACAAGGCACGTGTTAAAAGTTTTATGAAATGTTAGTTACAGGCTTACGGCCAATACATAACTAGGGTATTTTAAGAACCACATCTATTCATTACAAATAACTAACTTAACTAATTTTTTTTTAATTTACTCAAATTATCAACTAACTCTTATACTCCTCCGGTCCTTAATATAAGATTCATTTAACTAATTTGATTAGATTAAGGAAGTTAGGTAAGTTAGTTAATTATAAGAAAAGTGACACATTTTTCCTAAAACACCATAATCATCTTTCTTAATACTCCTCTCCCTTTTCTATTTGATTATGGTTGAGGGAGTATCCATAGGAGTAATTTAGAAAAAATTGATAAATATAAGAAATGGGTCTTATATTTAGGATCAAAACCAACTCAAGAATTGGGTCCTATATTAAAGACCGCAAGAGTATTAAGGACCAGCGCTAATATTATATAATACCATTCCCGGTTCTAAATATAAAAGCTAGTTAACTAATTTGAATAGATTAAAGAAATAAGTTATGTTAGTTATTTATAATAAATGTGTTCTTTCTTAAAATATCCTTGCTATGAGAGACAAAATAGATTAGGATCTTATATTTAAAACCAAAATAAAAGTGAAACAAGATCTTATATTAAGGACAGGAGGTATTACTAAATTATATACAAACTTATAAGTTTTTTTTGACCAAAAATACAAACTTATAAGTTTTTTTTGACCAAAAATACAAACTTATGAGTTAATAAATTAGTTTGAAAAAAAATGCAAAAAATGTGAGAAAAATAATAATTTAAAATCTTATATTTAAAATCAACATCAAATCCCTAATTAGCTCATACACAAGAGTATTTTTTGCGGGTGAATCATTCTCTCATTTTTCATAGCAATATTCCCTCATAGTCGTCCTCATCATAAAATTATACGGCCAAGAAAATTTGAAATTTTCTGTAAACCACCTGGGGCATCAAACTGTTAGCTAAATTCTTTGTCATTCCATCCGATTATTTTATTTCTTTTGGTTGAAATCTCCTCCATTGATTTCAAATAAGGCACAGAACTGGCGGTAGTACTAAATTATATAAACCTTGAATTCTATACCTTAAAACCCCACCACCACCAAAAAAAAAAATAAAAATAAAATAACACGCAAAAAAAGACACCACAAAAGATAATTTCCTTCTGAAGAGAACATCTTCTATGCCGTCACATTCACCGATGTCGATTCCATTACTTAAATCCTGCTCAGCTGCTCCTATTGCTGACCACCTAGCAGTTCTTCGATCGAGCCTTCTTGCTCGAAATCAATGTGACAATCTGATACTAAAATCAGTTTCATACCCTATAAATAAAAAAGTTAGAAAAATACAGTGATACTCTAGATCAAAATACTACTTCCGATCCTAATTATAAGAGCTAATTGACTAATTTGAGGAGATCAAAGAAAGAAGTTAAATTAGTTATTTATAATAAATATGTGTTGTCTTTCTTAAAATATTTTTGCTAATAAAATATATTAGGTAGGACTATCATTGTCAGAAGGATTACTTTGGAAAAATGCATAAATATAAAAAACAAAGTGGATTAGGATCTTATATTTGGAACCAAAATAAAAATCAAACAAGGTCTTATATTAAGAAGAGGAAGTAGCACATCAGAATATCAAAAGTTTAGTAAACAATATTAAAGTCCAATTAAACCTATAAACAGGCTATTTACCAAAGAAAAATTATCAACAGGATTGATTGCTTCTTAAAAATATTATCCCAGTCCACGTTTGGAAACTAGTAGAAGTTCAACCGCAGGAAACAGATCACAAGTACTATGAAAATGCCCAATTGTTGAACAGTAGCCTGGAATTTCTCCCCTTGTCTACATAATTTATATTAATATAAAATTTACAGAAAGCTGCACTGTTTATAAATTAGCAGTATTCAATTTAAAAAGAGATTGCAAAAAAACTCGAGAAACTGCGAAATTGATCTAGGCAAAGTCCACCCTTAACTGAGAATTCCCTTTGGACTTAAGTGAGAACCTCAGATCTAAGTTCAAATGATGTTGGATGAGCTTAAAATCATCATAATTTAATTTGAAATTGCTTAAAAATAGAAATAAAATAAGCCACGCTGAAAGGGATTAAAGAGCACATATGGGACGGGAAAACCATTTTTACATGAATAGTAACTGGAGTTTCCGGTAACTCCATGGAGCTGACCAGGCGATCGGAAAAAGAAACCCTTTTCAAAACATAAAGCTCAGACGTAGAGGTGTTACCAAGAACCAACCACCATTGTCCATCTTTAACCTGTACCAAAAAAGAAATATTAATTACAGTTTGAGACAACTAATAACGGACAATCTAAGAACTTCACCTTAGAGAATCGAGGTACAAAAGCTCTGGAAGAGTGTCGTCTAGAATTCGTCTTCTCCAGTCTGATGTTCAAAACGCGGGAACTTCCACTGTTAGTGTCCTTTCTTTGAAGCTTTACTTTCATTTTGACACGAGAGAATCAGACAGATAATTTTTCCCCATGATGCCAAGAACCGTAAACTCGAGTTTGGTAAGATTGGCTATGGATGAAACTAAAATAATAATAACAAAAATTAGAATTACAATAAAATTGATGCACACTGAAACATAACAAATAAAATATTGATTCAAAAGTCACCCACAAATAAATTATTCCTTTAAAATTATAAACATAAATAAATAAATAATAACAAATAAACATATATGAAAATAAAAAAGATAAACAACACAAATAATTAGTTACAATACATAATATAGAGACAATATATATAAATATATATAGAAGGAGGGGAAAAAACAGTAATATAAATAAATATATAAATATTACAATAAACTAACTAATATATAATAACAATTTAAAATGAAGATAATGCTACAGTGAAATAAATACAGATTTATAATATAAATAATAAATAGACCTATAATTATATAAATTACATTATATAATCACATATAATACTATTTGCATTATTATAAATAAATTAGATAGACAACATATATAAACAAAATAAATATAAGCAAATATAATGATATATATATGTGTGTGTATGAGAGCTAGTACAACACAAATAAAATAACATAAAACAATATAGATATCACATGGAGATGATACATAAATTACATAAATTATAAAAAAAATAAATAACTTAATATTTTACAACAGAACAACATAATAAAATAATAAAAAAAGAATTATAACATAATATAAAACACAAAAAGAAACAAAAATAAAATAAAATAAAATATATATATATATATAATGTAATGACAAAATTAAAATGTAAAGAAAAGAACAATAGAATAACATTATATAATATAAAACATGATAATTGAGAAAGGAGATAATATATAATTAATATGTAGTCAATATATATATATATATATATGATGATTGAGTAAGGAGATAATTAGATGATGAGAAGAATATATCATCTAACAAAGAGTTTATACATCAAATTTTCAAAGCAAAATTATGCTGATAACGTGTAATAAAACTACAAGAAATAAGAATACTAGAGAGTAGGAAAAAAACAAGAGATGGAGAAGACAATGGTTTTTTTCTCATTCACTTTGTTTCATGGTACAAATGCCTTATGCATGGCTTCTATTTATAGGCCTCCAAACATTGAAATCCTATACTAAGGTTACAAAGGAATAAGAAATATCATAATGACATTAACAATGAGAAACTCCTCCCAAGTCATTCGTTAGGGAAATTATATAGTTTATGACACTTGAAGGCAAGAAATCCTATGAGAATTCTAAAGGTTAGGGGTTATGGGCATCCACTTATACAATATTCATAATAATTCTACTCTTTTTGGAGTTTTTCTGTCTTTTGATTTCACATAGAAGCAATCCATTGCTAGATAAGAGGATTCTTATGTTTCTTTAATCAATAAACCGAAGAAAGTCTGTAGTAACTTGATGATCATGATAATTCCTTTCCGAGTAATGCATGCAATTCAGTTTTGAATTTATTCTTTTTTGGTGACTGCTTGAATAAAAAATGAAGAATCATCTTGTAGGGCAAAATTTTGAGTTTGGTTCGTTGTAGAATTTGTCGTCTTTGTGAATTCATTTATAGATTTAGAGCATAATCTTGAATTTCAACATGCATTTTGCTGACAACTGTGAGAGTATTACATATATCACATTTTCATTTAGCTCCATAGTTTTGATGGGTTGTAAACATATATATATATATATATATAAAGGTTTTTGTAAAAGTAATTATTTGTAAAAAAATGAAAAATTTATTTGGCAATTTTGTAACTGACAAAAATATATTACACCTCATCTTACATCTTACACTAGATGAGTTGGAGAGCTTAATTATTAACTTATGTTACATGTAATATTTAATTACAACATCTTCAGATTATTTTGGGTTGGTTTAGGGGTAATAACTTGCAATCATATTGTGCAATGATACATAAAAGAAAGTAAAACACAATTTCTCAAAACATCTACACAATTTTTACCCTATTATGTAGTTCTAATAACAAATGATAGGTACTTTGATACCAAGTAATATTGAACCCAAATATGCAAATTCTAGCTTAAGATTTTGAAATGCTTATAGTCATTATGGAATTTAGCCTAATTTAGATAACAAATAATATTGATCCTGATACTAGATGATATGAAATCCTAAATATATAAATTCTAATTTAAGATTTTCAAATGATTTAATCATTGTGATGTCTCTTGAGATTAATTTGTGATTAAATTTTATAACAAAATTAGTTAATTGCCCTTAACTTAAAATATGAAAAAAAAATGAAAGGAAGAAAACAACTAATTTAAAAAAATATTTTCTTTAGCAGCAGCAGTAGTACTGGTGGTAGTAGTAGTGGTGGTAGTGATAGTGGTGGTAGTAGTAGTAGTAGTGATGGTGGTGGTGGTGGTTTTAGTAGTGGTAGTAGTGGTAGTGGTCGTAGTGATGGTCATGGTAGTAGTAGTGGTGGTAGTGATAATGGTAGTAATGGTGGTGGTAGCGGTAATAGTAGTAGTGGTGGTAGTGGTAGTAGTAGTGGTGGTGATAGTGGTGATAGTAGTCGTAGTAATAGTGGTAGTAGTAGTAGTAGTAATGGTAGTAGTGGTGGTGGTGGTGGTAGTAGTAGTAGTAATGGTAGTAGTGGTGGTGGTGGTGGTGGTAGTGGTAGTCGTAGTAGTGGTAGTAGTAGTCGCAGTGGTGGTGGTAGTGGTAGTAGTGGTGGTAGTAGTTGTAATAGTAGTAGTAGTCGTAGCGGCGGCAGTGGCGGCAGCGGCAGCAGTGGTAGTAGTAATAATATTAGTAGCAGCAGCAGCAGCAGTAGTCTGGCAAGTAAAAAAATATCTTCATTGCAATTTAGTAATTAAAGATTTTACATGAATAAAGTGATATTAAAATAGCATTTTGATATTATCATAGGGATTCCTTATATATCTTTTTCCCAGTTTTCGAGTATTTTTTTTGAATTTTTGATTTAATCATGATAGATTTTAATTTTTAAGTTTTAACTGATCAATCCATTCATTATGTTATCCACATGAGTTTAGCCTATTCAACCATCGTTTTGGTGGTTAAAAAAAAATCGTTTTCTTGGTGGTTGTACCATTTTGCAACTTTGAGGGTGTTTTTGTTAATTTTTGAAAAATAGTTTTTAGAAAAAAATGATAAAAGTAATTTTAGGGAATAAATTTTGTTAAAAAAAGTGACTTTAAAAAATTGAGTATTTAAATGGTTGTTATCAGAATTATTTTTTTATGTGCAGACATAAATAAATAAAACCATAATTTTTATTTATTTTTAACTAAAATATGATTTTTTTAGTTAACATATAAATACTAAATCAATATACATATGTATGATCGATTTATTATTTTGATAACACTATGGTTTTTCACACAAAACTATGATTTAGATGGTTGTTATTAAAATCACTTTTTTAACTAAAAAAAATATAAATAATAAATATACATATGCAAGACTGATTTATAAGTGACATAATTAATTAATAATTAAAATGTACTATATACTTTAATTTATATATATTTTGATATTTGTCTCAAAAAGTAGAAAAGTTTGGCTTTTTTAAAGACTATGGCTTTTTTAATTTATATATATATATTTTTTAATATATATATTTTTATATTTTTTCACATGTTTATTTTATATATTATAGAAACACTTGTAAAATTATACTTTTATCCCTTAAACTTCTCTTAATGGATTATTGAATTTTATGAGGTGTTGGAATGGTAACCATGGTTGTGGAGAAAATCATGATTTTAAGAGGTATCCAAACACCCCTGACCTTCCGTCCATAAACCCTAAACCCCGCTGGGCTGAAACCGTCGTGCTATTTTCGCTCGAAATTTTCAGGTTTGAGGCCTCTCTCAGCTCCTCCTGCCCAAGCAATGAACTTCAGGTTTCATAACCTGCTTGGAGCTCCTTACAGAGGCGGCAACACTGTAATCGCCAACAACACATTGCTGATTTCGCCTGTCGGTAACCGAGTTTCCATAACTGACCTCGTCAAATCCCAAACTACAACACTACCTACCCAATCATCATCAAATATCTGCCGAATAGCCGTCTCTCCGGACGGCACTTTCTTGCTTACCGTCGACGAGAAGAGCCGCTGTCACTTCATCAACCTTCGCCGGCAAGTAGTGCTCCATCGCATTACCTTTAAGAAGCCCATCCATGTTGTTAAATTCAGCCCAGAAGGTTCACTCGTTGCTGTTGGAGCGGGCAAGTTGGTCCAGATTTGGCGCTCTCCTGCTTTTAGAAAGGAGTATTTCCCTTTTGAGTTGATTCGAACTTTTGCCTGCTTCGATGATAAGATCATCTGTTTGGATTGGAGTCCAGACTCGAATCACTTGATTGTTGGGTCTAAGGATTTGACTGCAAGAGTGTTATGCTTGAATAAGATGCGTGGCGGTGTTAAGCACGAGCCTTTTAAGTTATTACGTCATAGGGATTCTGTTGTAGGTGCTTTCTTTGGTCTTGAAAAGAAAACTAATAGAGTTTGTAAAGCTTATACGGTTACAAGGGATTCGTATATTTTTAGCTGGGCACTTACGAGTGACGATTCTGAGCCACCCTCTCCTGCGACACCAGAAAGGGATGTTGAAGGAAATATTGAGGTGGACGGTGATGTTAATGTGAAGAAGAGAAAGAACAATGGCGATAAGGATGCTGATATGCTTGAAGATGGTGGATACTTGTGCAGAGGGAAGTGGGAATTCTTGAGGAAGGACTGTTTTATGCGGGCACCAGCAAAGCTAACCGCATGTGATTATCATAGAGAGTTAGACATGGTTGTTGTGGGTTTCTCAAATGGTGTGTTTGGCTTATATCAGATGCCTGATTTTGTATGCATTCATCTTTTGTCAATATCAAGAGAGAAGATTACAACTGCTGTGTTTAATGACCTTGGAAATTGGTTGACCTTTGGCTGTGCAAAACTGGGCCAGTTGCTGGTGTGGGAATGGCGATCAGAGAGCTATATATTGAAGCAGCAAGGTCACTATTTTGATGTGAATTGTCTTGCTTATTCACCAGACTCACAACTCCTTGCTACTGGAGCGGATGATAATAAAGTGAAGGTAAATTAATATTAGTGATGCTATCGTGATTTGAAAAAGTTTCCTTGTGTGGTGGTTGCATCTTTAGTAATATGCAATTTTGCCAGCAAGCTTAGAATTGATTTTTTTTTTACGACCGAAATTAAAGGTTAAAAATTGATACTAGGTTAAGTATAGTGCTTCTTCATTACAGGTGTGGAATGTTTCCTCAGGCTTCGCCTTTGTAACATTTTCTGAGCACACTAATGCTGTTAGTGCTCTGCATTTCATGGCCAGTAACCACTGCCTGCTCAGTGCATCTCTGGATGGGACTGTTCGTGCTTGGGATTTGATCCGTTATAGAAATTTCAAGACGTTTACTAGTCCTTCTGCAAGACAGTTTGTTTCTTTGTCTGCAGATCAAAGTGGTGAAGTGATATGTGCTGGCACGGTGGATTCCTTTGAGGTATGATTTTCGTGAAATTTGGGTGGACTATGACAATCCTACTTTCCCCCTATTTCACCATATTTTTGCTTTATGATATGTTCAACAGATTTTTGTATGGTCAATGAGAACGGGCCGTTTGTTGGATGTGCTTAGTGGTCATGAAGGTCCTGTTCATGGATTGATGTTTTCTCCTACAACTGTGAGTCAACAATCTTTCCCTCCATTCGTCAGCATAATAGTTTTATTTTCTTAATTGACAATATTGTCTCACAGAAATGTTTTTCTTCAAGACTTAGTGAGGGCTCTGAAGTTTGTATTTTTGGTCATTTGGTGGTTTTCCACAAATGCAACGGAGAAGCTGAACAAATTCTTTTCCTCTCAATTTTGTAGGCAGTCCTAGCATCATCATCATGGGACAAAACTGTGCGGTTGTGGGATGTCTTTAATGGAAAAGGAGCAGTTGAAACATTCCCTCACACACATGATGTCCTCACAGTAGTTTACCGTCCAGATGGAAGGCAGTTAGCTTGCAGCACAATGGATGGGCAAATTCATTTTTGGGATCCAATAGATGGTGTGCTGATGTACACCATAGAAGGCCGCAGAGATATTGCTGGAGGACGACTTATGACTGACCGGAGATCATGGGCTAACTCAACCTCTAGGAATTACTTCTCAACCTTATGTTATTCCGCTGATGGAAACTACATTTTAGCTGGTGGAAGCAGTAGATATATCTGCATGTATGATGTTGCGGATCAGGTTGGCTTTTTGCAGTTCTATAACCCATTATGTTGAATTTCATCTTAAAAGTTGCAACATAGTTTTAATTGAATATTTTAGATTTTATTCCTTAGAACATGCTTTTTTAGTTGAACAATGTTCTTGTGTTCTTCACTCCGTGATTTCTTAGCATTCACTTCTAGGATGTGATGAAAATGGAATAAATATGGGCGGCTACATAATCTGTGGATACTGTAAAAATCATGATAGCATAAAAATATTCTTTTATATTATAATGACTCTTGACTGATTGGCTTCTGATGACAACTAAATATGGTGCTTGATTTGGCTCTATTTGTATCTGAGTAGTAAAATTGATTGATAGGTTCTATGGCATGAATAGAGAAGGAAATGGATTAGGGTATGTACAGGATCACAGTTTGCACTGCTTGCTTATTGCAAATATTTATACAGCTTATGCATCTTTAAAATCTTCTGATGTTTATGTTTTCTGCTTGAGGATAAATTTATTATGATGTCATGTTTTCTCATGTATGGCCTAGCTGATAAGTTTGGAAGGGTATGAATGGGCTGTGTTTAGTGATATTTGGAATTTCGATGTTCCTCTTTATGGTATAACATGTCCTATCAATGCATTTTGTAACAGATAAGTTTGTTGAATCCATCTCTTGTTTGGTTTACGTTGGATGCAAAACTAATAAATAATGTTATTATAACACTGTGAGAAAGCCCATGATTCTCTCCTATCATTATGCATGAGAATAATATCCCTGATTGTATGCTGTCATTAATTGTAGTTATTGCTGAATGATTCTAACCGGATTATTATCACCGTCCGGACCCTATATATTGTAATGATCTGTTATGAAATAATAATATGGAGTGAAATACTTAGAATTTAAACATGGTATCAGAGCGTTGGGGTTGGATCCGTCCTGAACCCCTACCGTAAATAGAGAGAGCGAGGAGAGAGAGTGAGGGAGAGAGAGAAACGCCGGCGTCCTCAGATCTGAAGGCCAGAGAAGGACGTGACCGACACCACCCCTCCAATCCTCACCGGAATCCTCCGATCAGCACGTCCCCAGAAGCCGGTGTCCAACGGAGCACCGCGTGAAGCTCACGCGTCGTCATAAGCCTTTGCGCTTGAATCCCACGCGCCGTCACAAGCCGCCGCGCGTGAAGCCCACGCGCCGTCGCCAGATCCATCCCAGTACAGTACTTCGTCCAGAAGATGAATCCATCAGACTTTCCACCACTTTTTGGGTCTGTTCGCAATATGCCTGTCACAAAAGGCACCATTCCAATGGCTTTTATGTCTGGCACATCCTCAAATACTCAAGGTACTCCACCAGTAGCCCCCTCTAAAACTTCTGATCCAATGCCAGATTTGACAACAGTCACTGAACAGCAACCTATGATGGTGGCTCACAAACTAAATGGCAGCAACTATCTCCAATGGTCCCAGAGTGTATTGATGTATCTACGTGGGAAGCGTAAGGAGAAATATATCAATGGAGAAGCAAAACAACCGGCATACAATGATCCCAATTTCGACACCTGGTTCACTGAAAATAATCAGGTGATGTCTTGGCTATGTAACTCAATGACTTTCGAAATCAGTGAGGGATACCTTCTTGCAAGCACAGCCAAGGAGATTTGGGATGCTGCTAAGCGCACTTACTCTACATTAGACAACGCTGCTGCTTTGTTGGACTTAAGGAGGCAACTCAAAGAACTGAAGCAAGGAAA